GGTGGAAGCAATTCCTAGTAAAGAAGTCGTTGAGAGTTATATCTCTCTTGGGGCCGCAAACATGGCCTTGGCAAATGGATCCAGCTGGACTTTGGCAACAGCAGACATGTCCAAGCTCTGCTGAGCTTTCTAAGATACTCCTCTGCCTCCAAATATTTCAGCTTAGTCTCCGCACTTGTGGCTTCTGGTCATTCAATCAGCCACTAGCTACTAGTGACTCAGGGGGAATCCACAGGAAGTATAAATTTAAGAGGGAAAATAATGTAAGAATAATTAATATAAGAGGGAACTGGACCGTCCGACGGTTTTCCTCAGGCTTTAAAACCTGCCACGACTAACTCAAAATCCTGGTTCTGGTTAAGATGATGTTTAAGAGGATGTTGAGTATTTAAGAGGATGTTGTTAAGAGGATGTTTATTTAAGAGGATGTTCAGTCGTGATAAGAGGAAGTCCTATGGTGTTTCAATGAAGGCTTAAGAGGATGTTTCGAAGCTTTACGAGGATGTTGTTAAGACGATGTTTATTTAAGAGGTTGTTTAAAAGGGGATGTTGAAGATTTAAGAGGATGTTAAGAGGATGTTTAAAAGGGTGTTGTCAGTCGTGGCAAATTTAAGTTGTTTTAAATCTTTATCGAAAACCGTCGGACGGTCCTGTAGACTAGGTAGCCGTTCCTGGATTGAGTATCATAGTCTACTGTACTACTAGTTTGTAGACGACCGCTTTCATGCTCCTCTAACTCTGGTGGTATCGGAGTAGGCAAAGGCAACTCTTGTAACGGCACTATGTAGCTCGCTCGGAGTGCGAGAAGAGTGCAAGAACAGTCCATGCAACCCAACAAGCATGGAGGTAGCCAGTACTAATAGCCAGACCTATAACTAACTCTGGTTCGTGCCGGCTTGGTAGCTTGCATACCCCTGCAGCCATCAACCAGTTGACTGGGACAATACACCAGTGGCCAACCAAACAATCCACGAGCAAGTCACCACCAAGCTGCAGTCCAGCTGGAAGCTCCAAATCATTATTTATTTTTCGCTTGGCAGCTTTGTAACTCTTGGACAGGAGGAGAAAGGAGAAAACAATCTCGTTGGTTCTTTTTATTAATATCCACCCTGCCGGAACTCCTCTTGCCTTGACAAGAAGCAAATCCAGGAGCTTCCTTGAAAGATATGATACACTACCAACCTGTAGATTACATTGTCATGATGTATGTAGAAATAAATGTAGCTTTGCAAGCAGGGACTCAGGGAGATGTACCAGATCCAGCTTGAAGGCTCAAAAGAAGAAGTCTAAGTGGTGCTGCAACCCCATCGCTGCCTCCAAGACACAATGGTACAACAAGTAAGTGCTCCAGTAATTGCTTGATGGCTGAGTCCTGTGAGTCCAGCCTCTGAAGGCTTCACTGAACGTCTACAACATGAGAAAGAAGAAACAATGAGCCACCGTAAGCTTGCCAGAATTTATAGGTTACTATTGTTAGCTGGGTAGATGCAGGGACAGTTGCCAGTCGCCAAGCCCACAGCCAACAGGTTCCTAGCTAGCTAGCTAGCTAGCTCAGCAAACTTTGGAAAAGTAGGTGGTTGCTTCACTGGCTTACTGTGCCCTTTTCGAATGGTTTCCAAAAACGAGCTTTTGGGTTTTGCGCGGTGTGCTACACGTGTCAATGAGAATAATGAGGGTCTTATTTCTTGAGTGTCCAATGATCTTACCACGTAAACGTTACGTAAGACCAGTAGTGACGTGTATGTTTCGCAAGAATCCAGTAAATCGTCAAGATCCTTGAAAACAGTGATTATAAATCTAAAGAACTCTATGCTTCCCGTATTTGCCGTGTCAGTATTGGATCCTTTAGTTGCATGTTGCCCTCAACTTGGAACTACAACGTTGCAGTCAATTCAATAGGAAGGCGACTTCAAACAGGAAATAATGATCCAACCGTAAGACAAATATGCAGTGGATGTCAGGAAATAAGATCTTTCGAGCAAATTACAGTAGATTAAGTATTAGTTGTCGTTACCCGTGCCACTAATCGGAATTCGAATGCCGGACTTCAACTCATAATTCTATTAAAAAATAAATCGATTGACGTGAGGTCAACAAACTTGCGTACATGAGCAGTACTGATCACTCTGAATACGACTTTTTCGCAGCTGTTCTTGTCGGTCGATGTTGTTCTCAAAGAGCAAGTGGTGAGAAGAGAATCTTTCTTTGTTGGTCGATGATGCTCCTTGGATGTCTGCTAAATCTCGCGTTCAGCTGTATCCTTTATGTAGCATCTTGTTATATGTAGCGGAGCTGTTGTAGTCCCGATTTTAGTTGCCAATTGCAGCCCACCAATAATTGCCAATGGGACCCGCATGCAGCGCAACAAAGTCCCGGTGCGTCGCTAATACCATTTAGATTCAAGCTTTTCTACTATTAGCTATAGTAGCAGTTTGGAAGGATTCTTGCCAGCTATGTCCAATGCATTTACTAAATCCAGAAAACTTCGAATGACTATCTTTAATTTAGTACTCTGGTGTATCACGCCTCGTGGCCATCAAATCTTTACCAGTGAGGTTCTTGTGTATCGTAGCTGCTGGAATGGCCCACGTAAGTAAGGTATGTACTGGAGTGTACTGGTAGCCTGGTAGTATAGCGGTTCTTTCATGCATACACTTTCGCCACTGTCGCGTAAATGGTCCTGGCCAGTCCTATTCCCTTTGTGGTTACCGGTAAGTATGTCGGCCCTTCTTGGATCAATCGTTGTGGGCAGTCTGGTCTGTGATTGGTACCGTACGGTACCCGGCTGGATATCTACAGTAGATCTATCTATCTTTTGGAAATTGGAGGAGTGCTTGATACCAGTCTGTCTCACAATTCTTCCAACTACGATCAAGTAAACACAAGTAACCACAACTGATCAATACCACCATGACATCCACAGCAGCAACTATCAGTACATCAGCCATGTTTGACATGAGCAAAATGGAACGGCGCAGCAGCACTGGCTCTTCCCATTCCGAAGGCGACAACTCCTCGTGGGGAGAAATTAGCCTGGACGAAGTCTTGGAAGACAACTGCATGAAGGACCGATCGTCTCGCACTTACTCCACTTTGGACAATAGCTCTTGGGGAGAACTTGACTTGGATATCTTCAATGAAGATGATGAGGAGGAAGATGAGCAACCACAGCAGCAACAGCAGCAACCACAAGACGATGATGACAGTGCCAGACACTCCACTGGCAACATGCCTCGTCGCACAAAGAAATCGGCTGCCTTTCGCACCACTCTGTCCATGGAAGATATTTCCTTTGCCAGTGGCAAACTTCCCTTTCAACGACGACGAGCGTTGGATGACGACAGTAGTGATAGTGATGATGATGATGATGATGAAAGTGTCAACGATATGACCAAAGGTCTCAAGAACATGTACAACAAGTACCACAACCAAAGACCATCATCTTCACACTTTGGACAAAAGACTCATCTCCAAAGATACAAGACATACTAGCTTGCTTGCTTGCTTCTTAGCATACTTGAATACATACATCCATCTATCCTCCTTCTGACCTCCAGCATGAGTACATTATCTATCTTTAAACCTTCTTAGACTTCTTATTCTTACACACACACACACACACACACTGACTTACCTACAACTATCCAGCTAGCTAGCTACCCTACCTATCATCTACAATACCATAGACTAGCTGACAGTTACTACGTACTTTCCCGGGCAGACCTCAAGCATCACCAGAGCTTCTACCGGTACCGGTAGGTTGGACGAAGCCAAAGCTGATGTTTTGGGTCTTCTGCTGTAAACTGGGGTTGCTAGCTAGAGTGATAGGCTAGCGACAGTTGCCAAGGTGGCGTCATTCTGGATCAGCCAGAGCTTTTTTCATCCAACAATGTTTGGACAGCTTCCAAATCCGCCTTGGCCAGCCATCAACGCCAGTCCCTTTGCAATGGCTGATGCTTGCATTGGAGCGAGACAGTCCAGGTGCTTGTAGTACTACGTTAGTAGGCGCTGGCTGGGTTATTCAATAGCTAGCAGCAAAAAAGACAAAGTACCAGGCTCAATGCACTACACGCACAACGCCGACACTTCACCCCGTTTAGTTGTTTCTGCTGATGGCCTCTTTTTGCTGCCAAAGCTATCATACTGCTGTTCTCCAACTAACTGCTCTCCCAGCTTTTGGCTCACAAGCAAGAAGTGGTCCAAGCCCTACTCTGTGGTTCGCTCTTTCAACTCTGCAAGGTGGAGCATAGCGCTCTGCCGGGCAGCTACGATGTGCTTACGAGGCTCCCGTATTCCAGCTAAAAAGCTTTCCCGGTGCTGGGATGACCGTGCCTTGATCTCTTCCGCTAGTCTTCCCCCCTTGATCCTTCTTGCTTGCCCCCCACCATGCCTTCCCTCCCTCTTTGGTTTTGCTGCTGCTCTGCTCACTCCATTGTCTGGCTCGGATTCCTGCATCCTGCCCTCCCCTCTCTGCATCCAATCCTCATCATACTAGAGTTGTTCCCTCTAACCCATAGTACGTCGTCTAACTTTCCCTTTTCTCAGAAAACAAGAGTGGAAGCTGCAGAACAACCAAAGGGACAGGTAGCTGGTGCCGAACTTTGGATTTCAGTATTAATATTCCAGCGCACACCTGCTCTCCCCCGTTTATACTCCCCCTTTTCGGCCCATGAAAACTCCCCCAACAAACTCTTTGTCTCAGACGTACATCAAATCAAACCGGTTTCATCTCGGCGACGGAGGGATTGCATGGTTGCATGCGGTCTGTTGGTGATTGCAGCGTTGGGAACCCGTCAAGACTTTCCTGCTACATTGGAGTCCTGGAAGATACTTGATGAGGGGTCATGAGTGCACATGGCAGACCGGGACGAGGCACGTCCCCATCATAGACTCGACTGGCTGATGAGACTCGATTGGACGGAGTCGGTTGTCTCCACCGCCCCGTTGCCAAAAGCCTCCAAAAACAAAACAAGCCAATAGAAAAGAAAAGAACAACTAAAATGCTAGTGATCAAATCGTCTTGGCGGCTGGAGGAAATTCTTGTCGAGCTGGATGCGGGCGCTTCATCAGAGCCGGCTACCATCCCCCCAGCAGGCTCCCAAGAAGACGAAGAAGTCGAAGAGCGGCAGCACCAAAGTCAAACCATCCTGAAGGTGTCATTTCGAGACGATGATGTGCTAGATTCGGACCAGCTGGAACAGTTGCTAGGTCATCTTCCTGGACTGCGAAAGCTGAAAGTATGCGCCGAGACTCTGACCGGAGACCCCCAAGTGATTGCGACCAAACTCTGTGAGCTGGAGCACCTCAGCAGCATCGATTGGGAGGTTTGGACCTATCCAGACATTACACCCGACATTTTGCATTCCTTTTGGGCCAAAGTGGCGCAGTCGAGAATCACATCGCTCTCGACCCTGCCTGGTGTGAACGCGGCTGTGTCGGGAATCTGCCTCTCGTCCGATACCACTCGCCTTCGTGACTTGACGTTTCATTGTGCTTTCCCCAATATTCAGGCTCCCGATTTCGTGGATGCCATTGAAGTGGCCAAAAGCTTGCCACAGTTGTCCTCGTTAAGTTTTGTGGGTTGCTACAGTTTGACGGACGACTCCGATGTCATTTGCGCACTGGGAGACCTGATCAAATCCGAACAATCACTGTACAGTCTCACCGCAAACATTCATCCCGGTGCGAGCATAGCGCCAATCCTCCAAGGTCTAGAGCACAACAGCAACACAACATTAGAGCATCTGACACTGACCGACCACGCGCATATTGTCTCCGAGAAGGCCGACCAACAAGACGAGGAGCAAGAGGGTTCAATCCGGCCCCAGGCGGTGGTCACCGAAGGTGCACTTGAAGAAATCGACGGTTGCGCCAGCAGAGTAGACACCAGCGAGGGAGAACTGTCCAGTCTCATTGACTTGCTCGAAACCAACAACATGAAATTGCAGAGGATCCAAGCGAAATCGTTGCAATGGAGGGCGGAACACTATGACAGACGACAGGAACTTTGCAAACGTCTCGAGTTCTGGTGCATGCTGAATCAACTTGAAACGCCAAAGGGCGCATCCACGCGCAAGACCATGGCGAGTGGCGATGCCACTATCTTTGACTTGATTGACGCTCTGACATCCAGAAGGCAAACCTCCAACACGTTCTACCACAAGAAAAGCACAGCCGTGCCGATTGCGTACTACTTTCTACGCATGGATCCAGCCATCTGGCTGTCTCCTGGCCCCAGCCCTGGCATAATCCATTGGTCTAGAAACCACGGGCTAAACTCTAGCTAGGCGTTGCTATATGACACTGTTCTCCGTTTGCCTGCGGGTTCGAGGGCGTCCTGGTTTCGGGTTAGCCTGAGTGTACTCGTGCGTTCTCGGAGGCCCAAACCATCCCCTTTTTGTCCTCCCAAGTCTTCCCATTCTGCCTTGTCCTCAGCCCATTTGGCCGCTGCCACCTTCGATGGAATCGCCGTGGATGGAGGTTTGGCCACCCCGAACCAAACGGGTTGGCAAGAGAGAACAGCGGCTCCTTGTCTCTGAGGCTTCTCTATTGGAAACAAACCTTCTAGAAAACGTTGCCGCTATAGTATCACCTGCTGGTGTGGTTCCATGGTCTTGCTGATTTCTGGCTCTGTAGCTAGCAAGTCTTTTAAAAGCTGCCCACTGCCCACCGTGTGCTCTGCAGAGGTAGATTGCTACATCACTCCTCGTCGCTGCTGTCGCTGTCGCTGCTGCTACTGTCACTGCTGTCAACATTATCTGCAGCCGTATCTTCGTCTGGGTCAGTATTCGCCTTCAATTCTTCATCAGCCCCAGGATCTTCTTCATCTGAGCCTACATCACTGCTGCTTCCAAAGGTGAAGGGTTTCCTCTTGGTAGCATCACTGGACGGATCGCCAATGCTCGTTTCTTCTTCCTGTTTTGTTGTGACTTTCGTGCTTTCGTTGGTGGCATCTGCATCTTCATCCTTCTTGCTGCTGCTTAGATTCTCTCCTTCTTGACTATTAGAAGTAGTAGACGTCCCAAAAGCAAGCGGTGACCTCTTGTTCATGAGATTGACAGTGACTCCATTGGTTGTCTCAGTTCCATCCCTGGCCACAATCTTGGTGTCCTCGGTTGTGTCTTGTGCAGCTTCCTCAGTGTCACCTGCTTTGCTTAGCGACTGGGCCTTGCCTTTCTGGTGAGTACTGTTATTGCTGGCACTATCAGTATGATTGGTAGCATTGGTGTCTTGGCTGAATGCGATTAGATCATTGAGGACACTGTCAAGTAGGTTGTTGAGGTGCGTGGCCGTCTCATTGATAAGCTGATCTGTGATCTCTTCACCCGTGGCATTGATGGTAGTGTTGTTGTTTGCCATGACCACCATCAGCAGACTGCCTGTACTACCGTTTGTCATGTTTGTCATGTTCATGGTAGTGAAGATTGGATCCATGTCTTCTTCAGTTTCCTCGCTGCTGTCCGAGTCATCTTCAATCTGAATGAGATCCAAGGCTTCCATAGTCAGAATGACCTCCCCCAAGATTTCCTGACAAGTTCCCTCCCATTGAAACTTGCTAACCAGTGCCAATTCACAAAACAACCCCGAAGCACAATCCTCATGTCCTGCACAAGGCTCTGACAAGCCGTGTCGTGTGGCAGTCTCTTTGGCATTCCTAATATTATTCGTGTCCTTATTGTCATTGTGTTGCGAACGGAGAGCTCTCCATTCCAAGCCGCTCGTGGCGCCATCTGCCAATGACAAGGTCCAAAGCAGACAAACAACTACCGAAATGGACCCTACGCAATACATGTAAGATCTTTGCCGTATCATTGTTCTGTTCAATAACAAGTTTATCCTTCGGCTGCTTCTATCGCGCTTTATTCGATTCTAGCTACGGTAGCTACTCGTACCGGGTAGCACTTGCCCGGTCTGCAGCACATTCGCATAGACTGCTTGGCCTTCTGACAGATGAGAGATCCTTCTTGCAAGATTCTCTCAAGCATCTGGTGAGCCAGCACGAAAAGACTCGGATGATGATACCTTACTTTCACTGCTTAGCTGGCTTTCATTTCATGTCCAAGCACCCGGCAGCACCTGCCTATCTGTAATATCTAGCTAGCTATAGCTATAGTAGGTGCAGGACGGCCCAAGGGTAGCAGGAACTGCAATGAACGGAGATAGGGGTTTTTAGGGTAGGGAAGTTGTCTACGGAAACAGGCGAGGGGCCAGGCTTAGTTAGCTAGGCAATGAACCCATTGATATGCAAAGGTTTACTTCATTGTTACTACCACTGGCGCGCCAAAAACTGAAGGTGCTGCGTCCTTGCGTCTTCGGCATCGAAGACGGCTCGATCATCAAGGGGAGCAGTACAATGAATGCATTGATATTAATTAATAAAACGTTTCCTTAATATTTAACTGTTACCTACAACCACTGGCTCAGCCTGAAGGGGCTGCGGTCACTGTGTTTGAGATCAAGTAAGTCATCATCTTTCATTTTTGCTTGTCTCACCCACCGAGCGCCCATCTTCATTCTAAACAACCAGAGGATCCAATAGACACCGCAGGACAGGGCTTAATCTTTGCTTCCATCATCACTATCATCACTATCGTCGCTGCTGTCGCCACTCCTTCCAAATCTACCAAATGGACCGCCATTTCTACCTCCACCTCCACCTCCATTTCCACCTCCATTTCCACCTCCTCCAAATGGAGGTGGACCTCGTCCAAATGGAGGTGGACCTCCACCTGGTGGTCCGTCAGGAAATTTGGCCATCGAGGCCATCAACACACTCATCTCTGATTGGGCACTATCAATGGCATCTTGGGCGTCTTCCAACGTGTCGGCGTCCGCTGCAGTAGTAAGCAATGCGTCAATCTTGGTCAAATTTTGCATGATTTCCGGAGGACTTGGTAGGTCAAGCCTGGACCCACCACCACCCGGCGGTCCAAAGGGGTTGACCATGCCACCATTTGGAGGTCCTTGTCCTCCGGAACCACCATTGGGGAATGGTGGGAAACCACCAGTTGGAGGTGGCCCCTGAAGCTTGCGAAGATTAGATTTCGTCTGGACATTGTCTTCTTCTTCGGATGCAGCTACAAGCAAGGCAGCTTGAAGGAAAAGGAGGCTGAGGGCACTGGGGAGTTTCATATTGGTAGCTCTGTTGCACTCGAGTGGGATTGAATATTATGATCAAACAGAGAGACTTAGCTTTCTATTTTATGATCAAACAGAGAGAGAGAGAGAGACAGAGAGAGAGGGATCGATCCACTTGGCCATTGAATATCCGTTTCCCTTGGGGAATATCTTTTCGAGGTCCAGGATGTTCGTGATGGCAGCATCTGGCGGGAGGTGCCCTGCTTTCCCTTCTATGAACCTTCGTCGTGATCATAGGATAGCAAAAGCTAACAAAATAAAGGCACCCCTTCCTATAAAGTAAAGCCTGGATCTATGAAATCCTTTCGTGATCACCCAAGCAAAAAGTTGCACAGCTTATCCGGATACAGAACTACTGTAAACCACACTTGAAGTACAGTACTAGTAATTAAGTGGGTCGGAGTGAAAAATGACTTAGGTAATGACCGCGTTTGGTAAACAAGATATAGGATTTGTTAGAACCATTAGTTAGTACGTACCGTACACAGAGTACTGCGTACGTGAGCTACTATGGACTTGGTTGAATTGTCCTTTAATTAATTTTCCCACCCTCGAAAGCTGATTGCCGACCACCGGAAGGAGATTTTCCTTTCCCATACAAAAGGTTATGTACAATTCTACGTGAGGCGTAATCCGAACTACGGTTCGGCTTTTTCTCGACTGACTCTATTAGGGTTCGCTAACCAGTAGTTTTGGTTATTGGTTTTGGTTACTGGTTGATTGGTTAATAACCAGTCGGATCAACCAAAACCACTCAATAAGTTTCAAGAAGGTTCAGTTCCAATACTCAAGTAGTGGACTGGGCCTCGCTAGAGCCCTTCCTCAGGAACAGCGGTAGTCAGGCAGCAAGGGAGCCTTGTCGTGCCTCAGGAGTGTTCCAACACCTCCAGTAGGCACCAAACCAAGGACTTGGTCCTGTCAGTCAGACTGGAGGGCCAGCAGAGCTCTCTGCTGGGCCCTTTTGGGCCAGCTCTCCTCAGGAGCTGGGAGCCTTCGTTATTCAATCGTGCAGTGGCAGTCTGGGAACAGTACTATCTGCTACCTCCTACTGCTTCTGCCCGGCCTCAACAGGATAGGAATCAACTGCTGCGGTATCAAAGGGGCTACAAGCTAATCAGGATCGGTCTCAATCTTTCGTACTATTTTCTTACCTATGTTTTAAGGACGATCCTTTCTTGCTGCTTTGCTGGGAGATAAGCCAACTGCGCGTGCTGGAGTTGTAGGCCAGCATAGCTGTTGGAGCTATCCCAGAGGAATCCAGAGCTCTCGCTCCTAAAAGTTATCGCTCCCCACGAGTGCGTATGGATTCGCTCTCATGGGTCTGCCACGATGTACGATTAGTTACTAACTAAGTATCTACAAACTCTCCCCATGAACGAAACATCCATGGGCCACTCAGCATCGACTGCTAGTGGAACACAATGTGAGATTGGAGATCTCACAGGTGGAGGGATTTGCATGGTTGGTCGGTTGCTGGACCAAAGGTAGGCGCAAATGGATTGCGTGCTTCATCAGCATGACCAGACTCGGAAGGTATCGGCGGTGCTGGTTGCTATCATAGCTGTTGTTTGTTTTCTTCATATGTAGACAAATATTGTGGCTTTGCCACAGGCGGAGTTCAGCGGCGGCAAGCCCTCAGTGGAGCGGCCTTCTTGCCCCGCAATCATGTCCCTTGATGGATGGGATGGATGGGCTGTACCAGACAGGGACGTAGTCTAGTTGCCCGTCCGAAAATCCAGGGGCGTCACCGGGATTGGTCCATTGCCATGCACTAATGCTATGGCAGCCAGCTTTGGGGTAGAAAGCATGGTGGCGGTCAGCTTCTGGGAAGGCGACACCATGGCAGTCAGCTCCTGGGTAGGAGACACCAAAGCTGCCTTGGTCAAAGGTGCTTGCTGTGGTTGCTCCCCATGGATTCCACCAAGAGCAGAGGGTATCTGAGGGGTGGGCCTCCTGGCAAATGGACTGGTGATGGTTGGACCAAGGCTGGTCCTATCCAAAGACAACGGCACCTCATTGGGTACGAGTCTTGTGGCATTGGCTGTGCCATAGGTTGGTGGTTCTGTAGGGAGCAGGCTGGGAACCTTGGGTGTCACTGTGGGTGATGGAGCACTAGGTCTCCTGCCAATGTTGGTTGTGGTGGGACCCTTGTGTGCTCTGTGTCTTGGAGCAGGTTGCTTGGGGGTCACCACAGTGTGGGTCTGCTCATATGCTCTTGGTTGTAGAGCTGACTGAGTGGGAGCCACACTTGGTCTATTTGGTTGTGCAACTGGAATGTTGTTGGTGCCAGCTCTGGAAGCTGGTTGCTTGCTGGCTGGAGGTTTTGCCATCATGATCTCCCCAGAGGTTGGATGACTACTAGGGCTGGCACGCTCGATAATCTCCCCAGCATCCAACGATGGATGGGCACCAGCGAGGGCGTGCGAGGGTGTGGCACTGGGCAGCTGGTGGCTCGTAGCTGGGACACACAGAGGTCGTGTGACAGACAACTCCCCACAAGCTAGCTTGGGAGATGGAGCCGTGGCTACATTGGTGGGCAGCTGGTTGGTGGCCAAGAGGGCATCAGTCAATCGAGTGGCATCTTGCTGCTGCTTCTTTGGGCTGTGGAGCCATTGGGTACCAATAGCGCTGTCACCAGTCGGCTTGTGGACGCCATCAGCACTGCCCATGGCTGACAGTGGAGTGGCATTGGTCTCCCCATGAACTGATGGTGTCAAAGCAGGTGTAGTTGCTGTGACAGGTGGCCTAGCAGCTACCACGACCAAGGCGTCCAGTTGAGTTGCCAGTTGGTCCTTCAGGGCGATGAACTGAGCTTCCATCTTTCGTTTGAAGGTTCCGTGATCAGCTCTCATGTCTTGCTTGAATGATTCGTGATAAGCTCTCATGAGGTCGAGTTGTCGAGCAACGGTGGCCTGTTGTGGATCAGCATGTCTTTCATGGCTGGGGTATAAATGAGATCTGGGTGACAACTGGAGCTGTCAGGAGACAGCTCTGAAATCTCCCCATCACCCAGCTGGTGGTTGGTCCTACCATAGGCCATGGGTGCCGGCCTCTTCTCAAGGATGTCGAAGGGTAATGTGCATGCGTCTGGTGGGAACACTGTTGACACAGGTGGTGCCGGTGTCTTCTCAAGAATGTCAAAGACGGATTTGTATTCATCTGGTGGTGGCACTGGTGGCTGTGTGTCCCGATACTGGTGGCGGTAGGCTAGGTTGCTGTTGCCAGCTCCACCGTGGTGTGTGGGGCGGCACAGGTGTAGCTACCTTGGACTTGTTGGGGACCAGAGTAGACGTAGTGCCAGCCACGGTCGGAGTAGCCAGGGGCATAAGGGTCACTCACATCGCTGATGACACCATAGAAAGACATAGTGCCTCTTGTTACTGACAAAGAAGAGGTGTACCTGCTGTAACGGTGGAAGCACTGGTTTTCAGCTCTTGTAGCGGTAGAATAAGGCTGACTCAACTGTACTTTGGAAACCACAAAGGATACTTCCAGGGATCTTGGTATGGGGCTAGGAAATTCAAGTTGGTGGTACTTGAATAAGGTAGCCTGTGTACAAGCTCTGGAACAAGCTTCCTGAATTGCCGTGGTGCTGGGAAGTGGCTTGGTTTGTGGGTATTTTGCCACTGAGGATCCAGGCAACTTTGGGCCAATGAATCTCCCCGCATAAGTTGCTTGTACTGAAGGTGAGATACCCACTGACTAAACAAGGGATGGCGGATTCACTGGTACCAGTTTCAACCAAGCGAATTGACTGCTTGGTTGGCTCGAGTCGCTCCGAGTTACTCCTTTCGTGTGCCGGATACGGTAGGTGGCTCCGTACGGAAGATCGCGATTTCACGATTTTCAATGACTCGACCACGTAAACACCTTAAAATGTGAGCACAAAGCGATTACCGTGGCTGAGCCTGCTTTCAGGACGGAGAACGTTGTCGTATAAGTATGAAACCGGTACGGGAAGCACTCGGATCGGTACGGAAGCGTTTCGGTCGCGGAAAACTGACTCAGAGCACTCGCAATAAGTACCGAATACTGCACGGATGTTTTGATTGGCTGATCGGCTTCTTGTTCAACGTTCCGCGACGGAAACTCGTGACCCTCGAAACTGCACAGGCGGTTGCTGAGAGATAAGCCTCACCACTGCCAAATAAATCACGTAATTGCTGGGAGGACTGCAAAGCGATAAGCCCATGCTGGAAAGTGCTGAAAAGAGATAAGCTGCGTACCCGATCAATATATCACACAATTCTTTAAGGGGAACTTCCTCGTAAAAGGATTGTTCGATTTCCAAGATTGGTGTGAAAACAATAAGTTTCGAGTGCACTCGGAGACTCACACACCGGTTAAGCTTCTTTCGAGTGAATTGGTTGATTGTGCGAACTTCGTGTTGTGGATGCTACCACTGCCGTTGTCAATGAGGTTGTTGGGATCTAGAGGTCCTGAAGGCAATGGCTGTGGGCTTTGTGTTGGTCTCGTAGATGGTAGAGGACCAATGCAAAGCTGCTTGTCGCTCTGGTGAAGACTAGAGCTGTCAGAATTGACCAGAAGGTTGTTGAGTTGGGACTTCAAGATGAGCTTGAGATCCTGCTATCAAATTCCAATGAAACCAACTGTAACTGTAGTGTAGCACTGATTGTTGTAATGCGGAGAGCTCCTTGTCAGCCTGGAGACTCTCCTTCCCTTAAAAACTGCCTGAATTCTATGCGGTCTGTTAATCCAATAAGTTTCAAGAAGGTTCAGTTCCAATACTCAAGTAGTGGACTGGGCCTCGCTAGAGCCCTTCCTCAGGAACAGCGGTAGTCAGACAGCAAGGGAGCCTTGTCGTGCCTCAGGAGTGTTCCAACACCTCCAGTAGGCACCAAACCAAGGACTTGGTCCTGTCAATCAGACAGGAGGGCCAGCAGAGCTCTCTGCTGGGCCCTTTTGGGCCAGCTCTCCTCAGGAGCTGGGAGCCTTCGTTATTCAATCGTGCAGTGGCAGTCTGGGAACAGTAC